GACTGGTCAAAATGTTGTTTGTGTCAAGAAGACACAGTTAAAACGTTAAAATCATGGGTATAAAATGTTGGCTACAAACATCCCTAAGTTTCACGAAATGAGTAGCTTACCTATACCACTAGATGTTAGAAGGTTAAACAGCGGTTCCGGAATTGAAAGCACTTTAACATTGAATGAGGCAAAATACCATCCAAGTTGCCGATTATATTTAACAACACCAAACTAAAACGTGCCGAACAACAATACGAGTCAACGAAATCAACAAAAAGTGAAACTGGTTGTTCACCTAAGTTCTTTCGCCGTTCAGTTTATCATTCAGATACGAAATTAAAACAAGATATTGTCAAGTGTTTTTTTGTGTGACAAAGAGGCTCCCCTTTCGTCATTCAGGGAACCAATGACCATGAAGCTGAATGATAGATTGAAAAGTTGTGCTGAAACTCTCCAGGACAAACAGTTATTGGCCAAGTTAAGTACTGGGGATGTGATAGCGCAAGACTTGAAATACCATCTGCTTGTCTTGTAGCTCTATATAATAAAGAAAGAGCCGTAAAGAAAAAGACAGAAGAACGGACAGAAATAGATATCGATGCAGAAAATGAAGCAGGAGATGTTGCCTTGGCCGAATTGGTTAATTATATATTCGAGACGCAAAAGAAATAGTGATTGGGTCAATGCATTTAGACTTGCAGATCTTGCAAGATCAGCAGTTGAGTGAGTGTTCACTTTCAATACACAGGGCACGACTCAAAGAAATGTTACTTGTAAAGATACCAGATCTTCAAGCATACACTAAAGGGAGGGAGGTGTTGTTGGTTTTTCGAAAAAGATGTTGGTCCAGCAATAGCATTGGTATGTAATTACGACGACACCATACATATCGGAAAAACCGTTAAAAAAAGTTATTATTCGGGCACAAATTAAGGAATACAAGACAACTTTTTCTGGTTCATTTTTTGCCGAAGAAATCCAATCAAGCATCCCCCTTTCATTGCTTGAACTAGTGTGTATGATTGAGCATGTCCATTATATCCAATCCCAATTAGATATCAGTGCATGCAAGTATGATCTAGCCATAGCTCAGCTGCTAATGTACAATAAATTGAGAATGGAAATGGGGAATGTGTCAAAGAGACAACAACCCGACCAAAGAGCAGGAAACAGCCGAATGCCACCAATGGGTCTTCAACACAGCAATAAAATCCCGCGACCGGAGGCGGGCTTCAGCTGACCCCTAAAACTATCATGCAAAAACACCGAAATTATCAGAACAACAGCGGCATGCAGTAGATCGTGAAACTCCTTTTTGTATCTATATCGGTCTTTTAATTTTTGCAAGAACCAGGAAACGTCAATTGGTCGATACATTATTTCAGTTTGGTTTATGTATTTCATATCACCGGGTATAAGAAATATCAACTCAACTAGGAGAGGCTGTGGCTGAACGCTTTTTGTCCGAAGGTTTAGTATATCCACCTGTTTTAAAAAAGGGCTTTTCACTACAGCAGCTGTTGACAATATTGATCACAACCCTAGTTCAACAACTGCAAAATCATCCTTTCATAGGACGGGAATTTCTAGTTTTCAGCACCCGTCAGATGACAATGGTGGGATTGAACGTGGATATTTAATACTGGGAAATATACCAAGTTCAAAGCAAGTGTCTTCTCTTCCATACGGATGTAGTAGTATTAGGAATTGCAGCATTCGAAAGATTAGGTGTGGACAAATTGTGGATAGTTTTTGGAAGGAATAAAGACTTTCGATGGCTTCCTGTACATGACATATCAAATTCGTTAGGTCCTCGTGTAACTGTTCTTCCTCTCTTCCGTGCATTCAATGGACGTGACATTGTGTCGGCATTTTGTTGGAAAGGGAAGAAGTCAGCTTGGCAGACATGGGAAGTATTTCCAGATGTAACGGATGTTTTTGCCCGCTTGATTATGAGACCAAACTCTATTGAAGATACAGACATGGACATCATAGAAGCAATTGTTTGCAACATGTATGACAGCACAATATTTGCTGTTAACGAGGCACGATTTGAATTGTTTGCCAGGAAGCAACGACCTTATGATGCTATTCCGCCTACCAGAGGTGCTCCTCTAGAACACACCAAAAGAGCAGCATATCAAGGCGGACATGTTTGGGCTCAAATGGATATATGCATTTAACAGGTACCAAGTCCTGAACACTGGGGTTGATGAAAGAAAAAGACTATGACAGTTTGAAACCAAAGTGGACTTCATTGCCAGCCGTCGCATCCTTGTGCCAGGAACTTTTGAAATGCGGATGCAAGAAATCCAGCTGTGTGGGTAACTGTAAATGCTACCGTTCTGGCTTTCCTTGTACATGCAACTGTCAGTTAGATAAATATTGAATAAAGCAACCTGTCTTTCTAACCAAATGAAGCATTTGAACTGAACAAAGTATGTGATTTCTCTTGTTAAGTTGATGGAAATGATAAAAAATGATGTTTTCGCCGTTTTTCGCGCCATTTTGAAACCGGAAGTAACTGTTTATCTTCATTAATGTATTGTCTCATCGTACTTTAGGAAATGCAAGTTACTTTTTTATCAAAACATTATACCTACAACACAGCTTTCAAAGGATTCATGAAATGTAGCCAATTTGAAATGACGCCATTTGCAAAATGAGCGGTGGCCATCTTGAAAAAATGGAAATTTTTGATGGCCAGCAGGTGTTTTTTTTAAATTAACATTTAGTCAACCTTTAGACTAAATTTCATACTTGTATCACGATTTGCACAATTATGTGTATAACATCTCCCACTATAAGGCTCTCGCTCATATTTACATTTTTTGTAAGTATTAAAAAAGTTATACTTTTGTTATCAGGGGCCAAAAACGAATTTTCATCGTACCTGCTCCAAAACCTATGATGTATAAACGTTTCGGATGAAGGTTAATCCAGAATTGTAAATTTTTGTATATAGTTGTACCTGAGGGGTTTATTCAATCGGTGATAAAACGTGAGTGTGTCCTTAAAGCAAAACACCTCGAACAAAGTTATTGCAGAAGAAAATGTGAAATCGACACACATAAGTTTAATTGTAATGCGACATGTATTTGCGGTTTTCGATATACAAATGTATGAATCACCAGAATGTTTGCCTTATCTTGAAATTCACCGATTGTGTCTTAATCCCTTGAAGAGATTTCTAATAAAATTACATACATACGTAACTCGACGTATGTACCTAACGGGAACGGTTATTGCGAACCTATGCATTTTGTTAAATACATCGCTCAAGTTTAAAACTTTTAAAATCATACACTGGAATTTTCGTCCATATTAAATTATTTTAATATCTTGACCTTTATTTATCACGTGGTTCTACAGATTCCCGCCTTAAATTTTACTGACATAAGATCACGTTTAAACACACAGTTAGGATTCTACTTCGTAAAATTGATGTCCCCATTACGTCACCTGATTTTTTTAAACGTGAAAATGGAAGCCATTGTAGGGATGACGCGCTGTCAATTTTGCTATTGAAAACAGATACACGATCTACGATTATGACATGACAGTTGTATTTTTAAAGACAAATGTATCTCCTAGCTATTAAATGCTTTAAAAGATCATTCTTTTATCTTTCTGTGTTTTTTTCTTTTGGCGGAATTTATGCTTATGCACACAAAAGATTCAAATGTATTTGTACCTACCATAATCGACTGTCTTGTGATAATTTGTTTTGCACCTACATTTAACTTTTAAAACCCGTAGAAACAGATGTAAACAATTCAACTTGGCCTTTTTTTATCGTCTCTAATAAAGAGTTTCATTATTTTGTTTAATTTCAATTGGATATCAGCTTGCACACGTATCCCTCACCTATAATACTATCGATTTTAGTTATCTTTCATGGTTTTGATACATATACTTTGCAGATGAACGTTCCATTATTCTATATTTCATATGTAATATATTTTTTATTCGTTATCTCTCTCTCTCTCTCTCTCTCTCTCTCTCTCTCTCTCTCTCTCTCTCTCTCTCTCTCTCTAAAATGCTCCTCTTTTTCAGTTGCACTCTATATTCGTGCTCATATACTGCTCGACACATTCTGCAGAACCTTTATCATTGAATATGGTTATTTTTTCTTATCTTGAATTCCACGGAACGTGTGTCCCTCGGTGTAAGGAAAACAACAATCAAACCTGTATAAAAAAATCGACTTTTTGCCTTTGTAAATGCCGCATTCTTTATTTGCGACGTCGGTTTGCCATAACCGTCCATTTCCTATCTACATCGCGGTCTTTGAACTGTGTCAGGCTTTAACTCCCAAGTATAAAATCGTTTGCCTCACCAATAAGGGCCAAGCTACGCCACTGCAGATCGACACACTGATCTAATTTACCGTGCTAGTTCAAAAAGTAACAATCCGTAAAAGGACATGTCATCCTAATAGTAACGTTGTTTTGACTCCGGACAGACCAATCTTTGGGCTTACTCCTAAATATTGCGTTCTTAGCAGAAATGCAGCCAATTGCTGAAAATATTTATTTGACTCTAAGTTTTTAATAATATTAAGCATAACTGTGACTTCATTAATCGAATTCCCTCTTTACACGTGAAAAGTGGAGTAGATTTGAAGTGCAAATTTAAAAACAGAAATGACTAAAAATACATCATATCATATATATATATATATGTTGATGGGTTGTTATCACATTGGCCATGCGTAAACAGTACATCGTTTTTTATTCATATTTATGTTTAATTAAGTAGTTATAAAGTTTCCTACATTTGATACTTAACAACTGTTTACTGTTTTAAAAATGACATATTTATCGTTTTCCGGGATTTGTCTGACGCAAAATTATCTATATCTCGGAATAAACTGTATTTGTTTGGGTTGCTGTTTTATTGATGTATACCTTGTATCTTCTTTTATCCATATTTATGTTTTATGTGTCAAAAAATGTTACCTATTTACTGTTTTATAGCTGATGTTTATCATTAAAAAAAAGTCTATATCACGGCTCCCCGTTTTCTTAAAAAGAATAAAAAAATATAAACCAATGCTCAAAGAAAAATTAAACAAAAACACAAAAAAATCGTTTTCTTTACATAATACGAAACAAAACAAGCTACTTCTTTCACAGTTTAGCAAATGTTTTGTCCTGTACAAATATTCTTTTAACACGGTAAAAACACGAAGCCACCTATCCGGAGAATAATCTTTCAAGTGTACCTGTGGGTTCCTTTACCAAGGTCTACTTTGTTTCAATAGTCCCTCTATTTCAACAAAAAACTCGAAATTCAACTTGTCTACATTATATACATGTAAAAGATGAACAGAGTTCTGTTGCATTAAATAATGCAATTAGCATACACAATGTTAGTGTTAAATCCTTTAAACTGATGAATTTTACGGAGACACTTTTCTCAAATAGAATAAAACTTTACAACATCCCAAATGTGTGTATACCTTGGCAATGTAGGCCTTAAATTGTATACTCCCTTCATGTATCTAGTTATTAACGGATGCGAACCTACTAAGTGTCCTTCGCATTTAAGTCCTGATGCTGACAGAGATCCTCTTTCTACATTTGTATCTAAGTTTTGCTTCGTATAAACTGGTTAAAAGCCCTAAAAAAATTTCTACAATTGGTTGAAATGAATTAATCTTTTTTTCACTACAGTAGTGAAATTATATCTTTTTGTGAACGTCTGCTATTGTTTTTAATAACAAGTTTCCATTTTTGGGGTTTTTTGGAATTATTAAGGGATTATCTATTAGGCCTAACAGTTCCATCAACTTGGTGAAACAAGGCCAGCGAGGTGCTATCAGTATTCCTTTGGCCTTTTCCGTCCTTTTTTTCTGTACACAATAACCCACTAGACTGAAAGGAGGAAACATGAATACTGAATTAAAATGTTTCTAATTTAAAGAAATTGCATCTTTAAAAGAGGGACGAAAGATACCAGAGGGACAGTCAAACTCATAGATCGAAAACAAACTGACAACGCCATGGCCAAAAATAAAAAGACAAACAGACAAATAATAGTACAGATGACACAACATAGAAAACTAAAGACTAAGCAACACGAACCCCACCAAAAACTGGGGGTGATCTCAGGTGCTCCGGAAGGGTAAGCAGATCCTGCTCCACATGTGGCACCAATCGTGTTGCTTATGTTATTACAAATCCGGTAAGTAGTCTAATTCGGTAGGTCACATTCGTGAAAAGGGATGGGTATTGTAGTTACGACATAAGGAACATATCCGATATCATCTGTGAAACGGTTATTCCATAACGGTCAACCAACTCGTGATGGCGTCCGTAAAATTTACGAAGGGATGATTTCAACTTCACCATTTGAAACTCTTGGTTTAATAGCTTCCTTGTGAGCAGCAATCCCCTATCAAGGAAATCGTGATAGGAAATACAAGCCCGGGAATATCGTATCAATTTGGAGATATATACTCCGTATATAAATGACGCAAGAGGATCTGATTTCCATGCACAAAATTTTCTAATTTGAAAACTTAGCCTAGACTCTAGAGGCAAATGAATCTATATCAGGTTTCCCCCAACTTTGTATGTTATTTTACCCCAAACAATATCCCTCAATTTCCATTCAGTTTGATCATTAAAATACGTCAATTTACCTGGAATATGGATACATGACAACCAGATTCTATTTTCAATACACCATAACCATAAACTTCTACTTATTTCTTTGCAATCTTATGATTTTGAACCCCCCATGTTATCAACGTATGCAACAGCCGTAGTGTTGTCTGTTAAAACTTCAACATGGTTATGTTTCATTTTTTACTTGAATGATTGCAAAGCAAATTTAATAGTTAGAATTTCTAAATGATTTATCTGTTTTTCCCTTTCTTTTTTTGTCCATTGTCCAACTATCTTTTCTTGTTCTAATACAGCTCCCCGTTCTAATTCAGAACCTCGACCAATACCACGTTCTCTACCTCTTCCACGGCCATATCTGCCTCTACCACGTCTACCAAATCGTCCTCTGGATCTTGAACTTCCACGTTCAAAGTAAATACGATTTGCTATGATAATCTTAAAGCAGTCTTCTATATCTTTTATAAAATTTACTGTTTGCAATATTATAAATTATTCTAAATAATAAGGATGTTCTTGTCCCAGGCAGAAAATCCTGGCCGTGTTAGGCGCAACTTTTTGGAAGTTTTGGTCCTCGGTGTACTTGTTTTGGCTTTCAAACTTTTTTCATCTGAGCGTCATTGGTTGGTCTTGTGTGGACAAGACGCACGTCTGGCGTATTGAATTTTAAGCCTAGTACCTTTTGTTAGCTACTATTCGTGTGTTTCTTTGTCCTATATGTTCTCCCATTTATTTGTATTGTGGTCCTGTCATGTGATGTTGTCGTTTTGGTGTTGTGTTTGACGTTGCCATAAAAGCGGGAGGTTTGGCATGCCACAAAACCAGGTTCAACCCACCATTTTTTTCTTAAAATGTCCTGTACCAAGTCAGGAAAATGGCCATTGTTATATTATAGTTCGTTTCTGTGTGTGTTACATTTAAGTGTTGTGTTTTTGTTGTGTCGTTGTTCTCCTCTTATATTTGATGCGTTTCCCTCAGTTTTAGTTTGTACCCGGATTTGTTTTAATCTCTATCGATTTATGAGTTTTCGAACAGCGGTATACTACTGTTGCCTTTATTTGGCTACTTTAGATACATCATCCCCAAAGAGAAAGGTAGTATAATTTTGTGACTGTGCACACAGATGAGTGTATCAATTATTCAACTCATATTTGATGAAATCTCTTGTTGCTAGATTGATTTGTTTATTAGTATGATCTACTAATGCAAAAACATCATTGCATTCATCAGTTACTTCACTAAACTCATTTGTTTCATTGTCTGCCTTTGCAACTTTATTCACCGTCTTACTAAGCAAGACTGCAGCTTTCACTACCGATTTTTCTATGTTTTGCATTTTTTATCGCATTTCTGAGGAAAAGGGGAGATCAATTTCCATATCAGCTGATTTATTGGCTCTCATTCATACCATTTCTAAACAAGTCAGTAATGTTTTCTGCCAAGGTTTCATCAATGTTTTCCCCAGTTAATTCTTTTTGCTTAAACCGATTGCTCATAGTACATGTAGTAGTAAACCTACTTTTTTCAACTGACTGTTCTGAAACTTTTGATTTGCCTTGCACATCCTTATTATAGTCATCTGAACTAGCAGTTTTAGCCCGAGGCTTTAAGTCTAAATAATCATAGTCATCATATTCATTCTCGTACAATTCATTGATTTGATCATTCAAAGAATCTAATTTATCGTCTTGCTTTTTCTGGTTATCTTGTATAGATTTCATAAATATGTTACTGTCAACACCAGAAATGCTTGTTTCTAGAGATTTGCGGTCCGAGCTACCACACGTGCCATCGGACGTTTTACTTATACTTGGAGTTGGCTTCACCGTTGAATAACTCCTTTTACCGTTTTTCTTACTAGAAGAAATGCCCAACTCTGCATCTATTAAAACATCGTCCTTGCGATTATTTTTCTTTGAGAGAACATCGTCTTCTTTCAAATTTCTCTTTACCATTCTTTCTGTCATTTTTTCTAGGGCTGCCGTAAATCGGGATTTTGGCATTTTTCGTCTTATTTGAAGTTGTGGTCTCCACAGATTAAAATTAAATAGTCCCAAACAACAACTTAATCATAAATTGAGTCTTTATTATAGTTTTTTTCCTGATAACAAACAGAATTGTTGCCAAACTTTGAAATATTTCCATATTACTATACGTTTTTCATGAAACAATTTTTACATACAAGTTTGCATTGCATAAACTATTATCTAACCGCAGTCTAGTAATTACAGTTTAGCACTGTTTGGAACTTAGCCCTCGATGGGACTGAGTGAATCCCGTACGAACGTTGAGTCGACGGGATGAATTCTTAGATATAACTATTCCATTTTCTCTCCTAGTAATGTGTAAGATAAAAGGGGGATGGTTGAGATATAAAAAAAACCGTTACTTTAACCCCGTTACATTTTCTTTAACGTGTGTGTGTTACACGTCAGGAACATTGTCGTTAGTGGTCGTATGTCATATTGTAATGCTCCCCTTTTATTTATTGAGTGTTAATAGCAGATCTTTGATTGTTCCTGTTGAATTTGTATATATCCTTCATTGAATCGAGACAATTAAAAGCGAGACATAAGGTATGATCACCTGTCTATTTGTCATAGACTATATGTCTGCATCAAGATGTTTATTTTTGTTATTTCTGTCGTTGGGCTGCTGTTCCATTGACGTATAACCCACATCTGTTTCTCCTTCTATTACACACTTCACTATCCGTGTACACTGCTGGCTAAAAAATATAATATACAAATCTAATAGCACTTATAAGACATGTTGTTAGGACATCTGTCTACTGTTGAAGACTAAACGTCTGCCTCTAGATGTCTTTCGGTTATGTCTGTAGTTGGCTTGCTGTCTCATTGACGTAGACCTCACATCTCCTTTTTATTCACGTAACACTTAATTTTCCGTGTGCACTGAAAACTGAATTCATTTTTGTTTATCGTATAAAACTGTTAGCACTGCAAATTTGTCTTTGTTTCAAATATAGCGGATTAATTTTTTGTTTTTTGCTTAACGTTCAGTGGCAAATATTCATTCACACATATTAAAGCCATTGTGTCAGAAAATCACATCGTAAAGATTTTGTGTCTAGTCTACGTAAACATTTGCTTTCTTTTGTATTTTCTGAGTGAAGAAAGAAAGAATTTTACAGACACGCAGACACGCACTTGCTTCAAATGTGTATTCTGGAATAAAACCACGAATTCATAGCCCCCATTGCTTTCTATGCTAAATTGTGCCTATATTTATAACTATTGTGTTTTAAGTTCGAAAAAAGTGGCAGTCATTTCATAGCAAAACTAAACCTTATCCGGACGACTTGACTGTGCTAAAAAAATCAATATATCTTTAATTGCACAGCAGAGCGCACTTGTTCCCGAATATGGGTAGTATAAAAACAGGTACTTCTGATCTGAGCAACAGGGCAAATATGCCCATATCATAATTTCATATATTTATTTAATTTTTCATGACAAACGTTCATCAAGGGTTCTACAGTGATCCCAAGACTTGGAGCTTTCTGTTGATACCAAAATTACCCATTTGGTTTTACTTTTGACAAAGTTACAGCTATGCGTAGGAACTATTTTGTTTAAAATTTTACTACTTTCTTGTATCTTCTTTGTGACCGGGCCCGATCAAGTGGTTCTAAACCTTCTGGTGTCAAGCGAAATATGAAAGAATTGGAAATTAGTGCAGACGTATAAGTGCACGCTCTTCGTAAGTCTTCAAATAAGCGAAAACTGAAAGAAGAGGGAAATAAAGAAAAAACAAATTTCCTTCATTCGTGATTATTTGTTTTTATCTCAACAATGGTCAAACTCTTTTTAAAAAGGATATGTGACTTCAAAAGAGCCGTTTTAATGTTCAATTGTCTTTGTTCTGTAATATTCTGTCTGGGTGTAATTACTTTAACTGCTTCTACAGCAGTGGCAACATTGTATTCTTCCTCTTTCACTGCAGTGGAGACCGATTTCTCATATCTCATATCTCACTACTTTTTCATTAGACGATTGATTGAAATGACTCCCTCTCTGCTTGGTCAACTAAGTGGTTTGTTTCTCTACAGTTCCGTTACATACAACTTTCACGATAAAACGCAACATTTGTACCAAATGTTTTTTTTTTACTTGATTAGATTATTGCATCTTTTTAGAAATAAGGAGATAAGGGCATGATTGTCAATGATACAACTATCCATAAAGACCGAATGACAAAGATGTGAACATTTATGAACACTAATAAATGTTTTAACATCAACATTTAACTTTTTTTAACAAATTTAAAATTGGGGATATAAGAAAAATAACATTAAACTCCCAAATTGTATACTATTAACTTGCAAATTAATCGTAATTTATACGACTAGGTACTCGCAATTTAAGATAAAAATGTAGCTGTATATTTAACGACGGTAAACCTAGATCAACAACACACCACTCACGCCCATTTAACATGAAATTTATAACAAATGCACAAGGACAAACACTTAATAAAGTTACTCACGGTATCCGGCATTGTTGATGACGCAGTTCAGTAAACCATATTTGTTCATTGTTTCTTGCAACAAATGCTATACTGTACAGTAAATAACCTAGCGTTAAAAATATAAACAAGTATAAAATAAAGTGTAACACACGGTTGAAGGATATTGTGTACTTCACTTTGATTGATTATGCGTTCGTTTATATTTTTCCATGGAGAAATGGATTTTAATCTATATATGGTCTTCAGAAAACCGATTCAAAAGTTTAAGTAGATAAGTGTGGATATGTCTTATAACTTTCGATACAAAACAAAATGTTGCGCATTAGTACATTAAAAGACGGACGAAAGATACCAGAGGGACAGTCAAACTCATAGATCGAAAACAAACTGGCAACGCCATGGCCAAAAATAAAAAGACAGATAAAGTGTAAATTTTAATTCAAAATGAAAAAGACCTTTGACCCTACATTTACGTCTTATTCTTAAGTAACATATGCAAAAGCGATTTTTGCTTCACCACCACAGCCTGCTTTGTTTATATCCTCCTCAACGGCCTTTTTAATAGAATTGTGGGCAGGATAAAACACTATATATTCTTATAAAACAATGTACATATATGTATTATCTGCTAAAGTACAAACTACATGTAAACCGTCAATATATAGTTATTATCTTAATAAATAGGGATGTGGGAGTAAACGTGAATGACAATAATCGAACGACACAGCAACTTTCTTAATAAGGAGGTCAAAATAATGTTTTCAACAATTGAAAAGCGTCTATGCAATATGTCAACAATTGCCAATTGTCACTACAATATTGTACCTAATCAAAAGCTTTCAAATTGCGAATTGTATTAAGAATTGGGTGCTTCTTTTTGTAACTTTACTGGAGTGTAAAAGCGTTGACCGAAGCTCATTTTCTGTGAATCGCATTTTCTAAAAATGTGCGCACGATCATCGCTGCTACAATCATGAAATTACATAGAATCATAGGAAATTTTTCGTTTGTTTTCCTATACATTGTTGTGAAGTTGTCATGAATGCACGTGCTGTCATAAATGTTGAATTTTATTGCGAAATACAATTTGATATTGGAATGTCTCGATTGCTTTCGGCAAATCAAAAGTACGGATTCTTAAAATTTAGATAGACATATATCACAAATGAACAGAAAAACCCCGAAATACGATGAGTGAATGTTTACTATCAAATAGACAACATGCTCTTATAACTCATTTTTTGTAGAAACATCAGCATGCATCGCTAAATCTTTTATAATGTGCTGACTCACCACAAAGCAGTTTACATAAAGACACGTTACTTCATGTATACATGAGGACAATTATTCGTAAAACATGCAAACTGCCAAAAATACATCACGAACACCGTTCAGAGCCTAAACCACCAATAATACTTTGAGTAGCCAGTGTGGATTCGCATGACGGGAGATGCATGTATGCCAAAAACGCTTACACTGTTGATGCATCCGGTCTCCCTCCTTTTGGAGTTCATGCGAATTCCTCAGTGGTTGGTTTGTTGCCTTGATTAGTATTCATAATAGATTTTGTTGATTTGTCTATTTTAAGTTATACCATGACATGCTGCTTTCACTTTGTCAATCATGATGAAATTATCGATATATATATATATCTATATTTAGCGCAGAATCACAGATGAACATATTTATGGCTGTTATAGTTTACCCCACTTTAATCCACATGAAAAGAGGGATGTTGGTTTTAATTCAATGAATCAGAAGCCAAACGACAAAAGTAAACAAAAGACAACTGGGGTAAGTCGTCGAGTGAGGTAACTTGTCACTTTATGGGATATTGTTTTTTTGAATTTCATGTTGATCGCCTCCCTATGAACGACAAATTTAAGGAGAAATGCCATCTAAACATTTCATGACGTCATATCAGGTGACCGTAGACAGTTAGATTTTACGAGCTCACAAATAAAAACTTCTCAGCTAAGGGTGAAAAATATAAAGACAAAACAGCCAATCGTTTTCTTTTTAACTAGTATTAGAATAGAATTGAATCATGCAAGTCATGGATTTGTTGTCGTTTTCATATTGCCTGGTAAAATTCGAAAAATTACGACCCAGGTCATAGAATAATTTCAAACAAATATATGGCTCGTATAAACTATTTCTTACCTAAAGCCTATATTAAATCGAATAAAGATAACTGAAATAAAATGTTTGAACCACTTCATAAATGTTT